GGGCAGTATAGGTGGCATTACCACAAATAATAAATAAATAGTAAAAATGGTCTATCCCAAAGGTAGTTATTTGCCAGAGGGAAAGGTGTGATTAGATGTATAATTGCGATCAGGGCACATGTAAGTAGGTTTAAAGCTTAGACAATGGTAGAAAACCGCCATTGACAGGCGTATCAGAGGAAGCCCAATAAATATGGGTGTGAAGGGTTCTATATTGTCCCCTGTTATTTGTACACAGTGTTTGTAAATTATTCTTGTGCCACATAAATTTCATTTGAAGAGCCTAAGAATAGACAGGTCATCTCTGATACAAAATGATCATTCTTGTTGACTGCCATGTGCCAAATGAAGCGAGAGGTTTTTCTTCTAAACCACTGGAAACGGTATTATTCTAGATGCAATAATGTCAACTTTGGTAGTCAATCCATCAGGTATTCCCTTTTTTATCTTCATAGAGCTATAGTTTTCACTATCAAAACTAGCCTGTCCTGGAACTTGCTTTGTAGACCATGCTGGCATCAAACTCACAGAGATCCACCTGCCCATGCTCCCCAAATACTGGGATTAAAGGCATGTGCCACCATTGCCTGGCTATCAGAACTGTAGAGAGTACTTTCATATTATTGCATTTGGACTGATCAGTTAGATTATCAAAATATCCCCCATTCATGTGACTAGTTATATACCTTCTTTTGTCCAGACAAATGGGTCTAAAGGATAATAACAATTCTTGGCAAACAATACCATGCTGTATCCCATAACAGCTGTGTTTTTTAATCCCATGTCCTCACAAAAGGCATTTACAGTACTGCATTGACAGGCTGAGAGTTAACACGTAATACAGTCAGTAAGCATACCAACATTGTTTTGGGTCAGTAATATTGTAGCCTTGCTGTTTCCCCAAAGTCTCAGCTTGATGAGGTAGAACAGTGGTTCTTAACCCTCTAATGCTATGATCCTTTAACACAGATAGATCCTCATTTTGTGGTAACCCCAACCATAAAATTATTTTGTTGCTACTTTATAACTGTATTTTGCTGCTGTTATGAATCATAATTGAGATAAGGGTTTCCCACGGGGGTTGCGATCCACAACTTGAGAACCACTGAGTTAGAATCTTGCTACCTCCCCAAGTTATCAGCTTGCTATCCCTCTTGGGGTATCTCTTGGTGAGCTGGCTTGTCATCTACCTTTTCATTGGTCTGGTGGTCAGGGGCCATATGAGACTTTGTTCATTTTCTGCAAAGACATAAGCATTACCTTGCTCCAAAGTTCACATCAGTTTTTTCCATTGATTAGTTTTTAGATCTTTTCATTTAGCATATATTTTATATGTCTGCTCTAGGGAAGAATGCTTTGGGGCAACAGAAAAAGCACTATCCTTTAAAGTGGAAAAAAAGTTTGGGTTTTATTTTGTTTATTTGTTTGTTTTATTTTTTTGTTTGTTTTTTTTTGTGTTTCAAGACAGGGTTTCTATGTGTAACATTCCTAGCTGTCTTAGAACTTGCTTTGTAGACCAAACTGGCCATGAATTAACTGGGATCCACCTGCCTCTGCTGCCCAAGTGCTTGGATTAAAGGCGTGTGTCCACCACCCGGAAGGAAAAAAAAATTTAATTTAAAATTAGCATAACTAAGTGTAGCACAGTATGAGAGGATATGGGTGAGAGTATATACTCCCTTTTTACTTTTAAAATTGTCAATTAAGTATTTGATAGTGTTTTATAATAGTTTGATCCTGTGGCTAGTCAGGGATTCCAGAAATATAATTAATATTTTATAAATTTCAAAAATTTAAAAAATGTCTGTTAGGATTAGCAATACAATCACTAGTATTTAGTTGTAATAAGTCCTAGAAAGGACATGCAGAAGAGTTATATGACAAAGTCAAGTGTCAGATAAGACACATTTGTTTGGCTGCTGTCTCATATCAACAGAATCCTAAGTTATTTAAGTGCCATGTTCTACAGATCTTTGAAGTGGTTAAAGGTTACCTATCTATGCAGAATACAATCTCTATCTATCTAAAGAACCTAATTAGTCTGACTAAAAGTATAAAAACATGAATGACTATTGACCTAAAGTACTTACTACTTATATAACTTAAAGATTGAGACTTCATATCAGAATATTAAACAATCTTTAAACAACTGTGCAGTAAAGGAGGACAATGACCTCAAAATGTAAACAATGTAAAAAAAAATGTAAACAATGTAGAACTATCTTAATCGGAGGTAGAAATATGTAATGCAATATGATAAATATATCCTAAAGTGTGTCAATATGCAAATTGTCTTAAAGAGAGGTAGAAACATGCATGTATACAATATGACAAAATAACTTTGCATAGGTGTACAAATATTGTAAACAGAAATAACAAATATAATTTCATCAGCAGTAAAAGGGACTATAATCTCTGCTGGGTCTATACCTGCTGATTGATGAAGTCTCAATTTTCCTTTTATAATTATAATTTTATAATTAATAGTTCAGAGACTTTTTCCACATAAGTTTTGAATTTTTTACTTGGTTTATGTGGTAAAAAGATCCATTCTAAGATAATATCTTCCCTCTGCATTAAAATTCCTGTAGGGTAAATTCTGGAAGGCAATATGGCTAGAATACAGTTAAAATTTGGATACACTCTATCTACATGTGCCTCCTGTAATTTCTCTTCAATGACCATCAATTTTTTTTTCCATTTCAGCTGTTAATTCTCTGGGACTATTTAAGTTTTTGTCACCATCTAAGATTTTGTTTACATGAACTATTAGGTCAGGTGTTATCCTAACAGCTGGTCATAGACTGGAAATATCTCCTAACAATCTTTAAAAGTCATTAAGAGTTTACAGTCTCTCCTAATTTGTGCCTTTTGTGTTCTAATTTTCTGTAAACCTATGTTGTAACCCAGATAGTTGACAGAATCTCCTCTTTATATTTTTTTCAGGAGAAATTTGTAATCCCCATTACTTCTTCAAACATTCTTTCTAAAGTATCTGCATTTGAGGCAGATAACAAAATGTCACCCATGAAATGGTAAATTATAGACTTAGGAAATTGCTTGCATATTATTTCCATTGGCTGATTTACAAGGTATTGGCACAGGGTTGGACTATTGAGCATTCCCTGTGGGAGGATAATCCACTGGCATCTAGTAGGCTGAGAATTATTATAAGTAGGCACTGTGAAAGTAAATTTTTCTCAATCCTTTTCCTGTAAAGATATACTGTAGAAACAATCCTTTGAATCAATAAGTATAAGAGGCCATCCTGCCGGGCAGTGGTGGCACATGTCTTTAATCCCAGCATTTGGGAGGCAGAGGCAGGTGGATCTCTCTGAGTTTGAGACCAGCCTGGTCTACAAGAGCTAGTTACAGGACAGGCTCCAAAAAAATCAAAAAAGGGGAGGATCCTTTTGGTAATAGAGAAGACAGAGGAATTCTAGACTGTAGAGGGCCCATAGGTTGGATAAACTTGTTGACATCTCTTAGATCTGTCACCATTCTCCATTTTCCACATTTCTTTTTAACAACAAATATAGGAGAATTCAGAGGGCTGGTTGATTCTTCGATATGGCAAGCATCTACTTGCTCCTGTACCAGCTGTTCTAAAGCCTGCAGTTTGTCTTCCATTAAAGGCCATTGTTTAACTCATATGGGTTTCTCAGTTAACCATTTTAAATGAGCCATAAAGGGCCTGGAGATTAAAAGAACATACAGGAGACGAGGGTCATTCATGAGGAGATAATGCCGAATGCCCATTTATTCAAGCTTAGGAAAAATCTTATATACCTAGCTGCTGAACAATGGAATTCCCCCCAGGCAGGTGGGAAATTACTAAACCCAAAATCAAGTAAACAATGGCCTTATAGCTAACTGCCAGGGGGAACGGAGGGAGCACAGGAACAAACAGGATGTTTAGATGGAAATTGCAACAAGATGTCTGGCCAGAAACTGTTCTCAAGATAAACTCAGAGAGGAAGGATAGACCTGTGGGCCCTACAGGCCTTAACTTAGACTTTCTTCCAGCTAGCTCTTATAACTTAATTAACCTATAATCTATGTTCTGCCATGTGGCTCAGTTACCTCTTCTTAGTACAGTCCATCTGACTTGGTCTAGGACTGCTGGCAAGCATTCAGATTCAGAAACATCTAGATTCTTCCTCTTCTTCCTCTCTCTCCCCAGAAATCCTGTCTATACTCTCCTGCCATTCTATTGGCCACTCGGCTTTTTTAAAAAATGGACTTTTATTTTGATGAAAAACTCGAGTTTACAATCATTTAGTAAATGAAGAGCAAACAGTTCATTTTCCTATCCCATAACTCTTAAGGAAAAAAAGCATTAGTAAATAAATATCTGAGCTGATTAAGGGTAAGGCAGACTGGACAGTAAACCATCTCCTGACAGTCACCCTTCCTGCACATGACTCACTGTAAAGGGCTTTAGGGCTCTGGTGATGAGTAAATCAACATTACGAGCATCAGATCTCTACTCATCACCCAAACAAAGTCAAGATAAATATGTTTTTGCTTCTTGTGGGCCAACTACCCATACTGTACCGAGGAATACTCTGATAGAAGCGCTTGTGTTCTGCTGTGCACCACCACTCTAACATGGCTTCAGCAGCTCCATTTAACCACCATCTATAAAGTGCAACTCTTCACATTCTGCATTTTATCTGGGGCATGATGAGTATCAATCTACACTGAAAGTACCCCAACTGTCAATTCCCATGACTTCTGTGTGAAAAAGGACTGTTTCAGTACAAAAAACCCATTTCACAAATCTACTGGTAAACAAACACATTTATAAAACTGGAACCAGGATGCTAAGGTTGTACTCATTAAAAAACCATTCAGCTACCTTTGGTCTTTAAAAAAGCCTGTGCTGCAGTATCCTAAACACGTGCATCTCACAATGAAGAGAAGTGCCCTCGCAGTGCAGAATGAGGGGTGCGTCGTCACTGCAAGAGTAGCTTGCTATGGCTTCAGAAACAGCAGCATCACAGCACTGGATTCTGCGAGTCAGGATCGAGGTCATTATTGCCCGAGGCAGGCTGGCTGCAGAGGCTATCCAGCTCATCCACCTGTGGAGGAGGGTGCATGGCTACCAGCTGGTCCTGGGAATGTCTGCAGCAGCCGCTGCCAGGTTGGTGATAGATTTATTTACTCTTTACACACTGAAAGTCTACATGCCGACTCTTTCCTTCCTCCTTCTCCCAGGACATTCGAATAAAGGGTCTTTGGACATAGTTGTAAATGACTTCTGGGCGACCTGCTGGCCTTTTCTTTACTTTTTCTTTGTAGGTAGGATAGCCTTCTATTCCCAATCTAATCTTCTTAAGACCCCTCTCCTTCAAAACTGATTTGGCCACATCTCTGTTTTCAATGTACTTGAAAAATCTATATAATTTTGTGCTATAAATAATCTGTGAATATTCCTCTCCCATCTGTGGTGGATACTCCTCATCCCAATCAACCACATCATCTGCGAGCACCACTATATGGCACTCTCGTTCCCCACGCTGGGCACTTGCTATCATGAGAGGGAGGATCATTTCTTCCAGATAAAATTCAAATTGTCTACGAGCACCATCATTTGATAACTCATGCATGAGGGCACTGAGATCTCTACATTTAATTGTACTGTATTCAAAAGAGACACAAAGGTAATCGCATGCTTCTCTCAGCTCAGGAACAGATACGCCCTCAGGACAGCGGATGATTCCTGTCTTATAGTAATCCAAAATAGCTCGAAACACAGTAGAACCGATTCCTTCTGCCACCACATACTCTCCCTTTTCATTGGGACGTGTGAAATTATGTTCTCGGCCAGATCTAAACATCCTGCCCAACATTGTGTTTGGCTGTGCAGTGAAAATGGCCGGGTCCACGACAAATCTGGTGGTATCTACTATCAGTGTCACTCGCTCAGACGTCCGCACGCTCCGCGCGCCTTCTATTGCGTTCTCACACACAAGCACCATCTCCCCAGACGTCGTACAGCTACCATCTGAGCGCGACTGACTGCTGTTTCTGCTGCTTCTCCCAGCACTGCTCATGGAGCCGTTCGGGGACGCTCTTTGAGGACGAGGACTGCTTGGACGAGATGAACTATGATCTTTTTCTCGTTCAACATGGTGCTGTCGTGTTGGTGAAGTCACATTTCGAATACAAGGAATAAGCTGTGACTCTGCTCGCTCATGAGATGAATCTCGTGATCTGTCACTTGACCTTCCTCTATCTCTTGATCTCTCGTGGCCCCCACTAGCACCGTGCAGACTCATTTTAGTCTGGTCGACTCCTCCCTTAGCAACACGTGCCCGTTAGATGTGTAGGTGTTCCATTTCCTTCTCCCTCATAGAGGTCCAGCCTGCTCAGATAAACCGCCCTATTGTGATGCTCCCTCTTCGGATTGTTGCTGCATGGCCCAAAGATGACAGGAAAGGGACGGGGCACGGGGTTACTCTGTCCTGCGGGCCCCTGAGACTGCGGGGGGGGGGGGGACGCCCCCCCGCCCCCCCCCCCCCACTCAACAGGATCCCTCCAGTGCTACATTTGAGGCAACTGCTCCAACCAGCTGTGCCTACCAGAGCGGCCCCAGCAGGTTGCAGGGCTCCTCAGCTGGCCACTCAGCTTTTTATTACACCAATCACAGCAGCACATCTTCCCACAGTGAACAAATATCCAAAACACTCAAAGGAAAGGATTGTGGAGAAGAGAGAATATCAGGACTTAAAGTAGAAGATCTAGGCAAAGTAGGCAAAGAATATGAGAAACCCACAGGAAAGGACCAGACAAGAAATGTGGGACACCGTGAAAAGATCAAACCTTCACTATTATGCATAGTGAGAGAGAAGAATTCCAAGTCAGTTGCATAGACCAGATCTTCAACAAAATTATAGGATAAAATTCCCCCCAAACTAAGAAAAGACACACCCATACAGTTATAAGAAGTATGCAGAACTCCAAAAAGACAAGTTTTCACACCATCTCACATTTAAAACACTAAGTATATATAACAAAGAAAGTGCATTGGAAGCTGCAAGAGAAGACTTAAGTCACATATAAAGGAAAACACATCAGAACAACAGCTGGTTTCTTTCTTTCTTTCTTTTTGTTTTTTTGAGACAGGATTTCTCACTGTAGCTTTGGAGCCTGTCCTGGAACTATCTCTCGTAGACCAGGCTGGCCTCGAACTCACAAAGATCTGCCTGCCTCTGCCTCACGAGTGCTGGTATTAAAGGCGTGCACCACCACTGCCCGACTAACATCTGGTTTCTTATTGGAAACTGTGAAAGCCAGAATATCTTGGAGCAATGCATTCCAAGTACTAAAAGACCATGCTGGCTAACCTAGACCAAATATCATGAAAGGTGAGATTATAAAACTGGGTAATGTATTGAAATTGCTTTATGAAAGAGGTAGAATTAGACATACAGGACCCCAGTTTTTGTTCTATATGGGAGAGTTCTGAGAGGGAGAAGGGGATGTGTACCCTAACCAATCCATCTACACTGGCCATGTCTTGCAACAAAAGAGCTGCAGCACGCTTGTCTTGGACAGGGTTGGGTTCCATAGCAGCACGTGAGCGTGTGAGAGGAGGGGTAAAGGTGGGTGCTAGAGCCAGGCGGTTGTTGCAGCCTGGCACCAGAGAGGAGAAATGATCCAGTGTGGTTTATGGAGTAATTCGTTGGTGGGGAGAGCTGAAGGGGGCAGCAGAACCGGTGCAAGTGAGAGGGGAGAGAGGTGGCGAGGCAGGTGGCAAGCTGGTGGAAGGTGAAGAAGTGGGTGTGTCTGTCTGCTGAGGTTGGAAAGGTGTGGGTTCTGGGGGGGGGGGGTCCAGAGCGGGAGCTGAAGAAGCAGAAGTAGCTACCTGCTGAGGTTGGGAAGGTGGGGGGTTGTAAACTGGGTCCAGAGCAGAAGTGGAAAGTTCTTCCGGCCCAGATGGCATAGCCAGGAACATGTGAGCAGGTGAACAGCTTGCGAGGACAGAGGGCTTAGACTTAGAGCTTAGTTAGTAAATGGCTTGGATAGAAGGAAACTCCTTCCATCTAACTGTGCGCTGACAGTAGTTAGAAAGCTCCCCTAGACTATTAGGATCAAAGATGCTGTTAGGCGGGCACTTTAAATTGTTATCTAATCGGTAACAAAGCCATTTTTTTTTCGAGCAAAGATGGACAAGAGTGGGAATCTGTAAGTAGGGCATTAAGGCCTGGAGTTTCAGGGCCTCTGAAAGGTATCCCAGGGGAGAGGTTGGATTGACGGTCTTCAATGGCTTGTTACCCATAGCTGAAACCGTGAAAACCCGCGAACGGTGACACCACAAGGCTTACTGGAGGATGTCTCCGCTCTATAGGTGGGGTGTGGAAGCCTGACTGGCTCTGGTCAGGTGACTCGGAAGCCAGAGAGGCTAGAGGCCGCTCTGAGCGGTCTCTCATGGTGGGGACCACTTATGAGTGGTCCAAAAGAAAAGAAAAAGAAAAATCCGAGGGACCCTAGGCCCCAAGGCGAATGCGCTGCTCAGCGTATGCAATGCTAGCATGGGTGGGCTACCCTGGGTTGTCTGATCAGGTTTTTAGCTATGGGAAAAAAAGCAGAGATGAATGTCAGTGAAGGGCTCAACCGTAGCCATGAAGGCCATGGTTGGGAGCTTTCCCTCCATTTCTAGGAACACTAGAAGATTTCAGGAGCTCAATGGTCAGTTCCTCGGGTTCAGAGAAATGGTTAAGCTGACCAGAATCGGGAAAATCACCAATTGAAGTCAGTGGAGTGGGTAGAGATTGCACTCAGGCAGATAGAACAGGTGGTTATTGTAGAAAAAAAAATACCTGGTTCTGGTTCCCAACCCTGGGAGAGGGGCAGAAGAGCCTACCGAGTCTCATGACACCAATGAAATTACCTGGTACGAGTGAGAAGTAAGCACGAAACATGCAACAAACCCGCTTAGGAGTTTATTAGAGGAGACATGTACAGGCCTGGTGACATCAGTGTGCAGAGAGGGCTGAAGACGGCACATCCAGCTTTTAAAGGCTGCCTAGCTCATATGCACAGGGAGATGAGGTAGCTACATCATACACAGATGACAAAGCTCACGCATGCGCTCAAGGGTTTACATAGCTACGTCATACGTAGGTGATGCTACCATTCCACATGGGGGTCATGCAGGACCTTTTAAGGTCCCTGGGGTGGCTTGGTATTTTTGCTTGAGGGTTTATCCGCATGTGCGTGGTCTGGAACCCAGAAGTACCAGCCATACTGGTTGGCTAAAATCATAGTATAAACAACCTAAGAAAATTATATCCAATAAACCAAACCTAAGAAAATACAAGAAGCAATATTTTGGACTAATGACAGAAATGAGCATAGCCAAGAAAGTCATAATTACTGACATAAAATACCTCTGAGAACACAACAACACACAAAATCAACACAATTACTATAGTTAACACACACATTTCTGTAGCACTAATTCTAATTTTTCTTAAATAATAAAAATCCAGAGTTAGATATAGGGGATAATGCTGAAAGATCAGAGAAGCAGAGCAGCCAACTACTAGAGAGTTCTTATCGCTACCAATGCTCAGATGAAAGGGGAATCCTGTCTCTGTGAATCTTCAGACTGAATGCTGTCTCTACAAAACCACAGACTGCATGCTCAGACTAAATTCTCAGACTGCATCTGAGCTCCTGTCTCCTCCCACCTTATATTTCTCTCTCTGTCCAGCCATATCACTGCTGTCTCTACCTCCCTAGTGCTGGGATTAAAGGCATGTGATCCCAAGTGCTGGGATTAAATGTGTGTGCCACTGCTTGCCTGGTCTGTATGACTAACTAGTGGCTTAGCTCTGTACTCTGATCTTCAGGCAAGCTTTATTTCTTAGCTTACAAGCAAAATATCACTGCCCATTTCAATAATAACTTTAAATATTAATGGCCTCAATTTCCCAATTAAAAGACACAGGCTGACTGAACTAACCAATAAACAAAATTCATCTGTCTGTTGTTTAGAAGCAGCACATATTAACTTTAAAGATATGCACTGCCTTAGAATACAAGGATGGACAGAAGTACTCCAACCAAATAGGACTAGGAAACAAACAGGCATTGTTATCCTAATATCTGACAAAGGAGACTTCAAACTAAAACTTATCAAAAGAGATGAAGAGGGACACTTTTATTCTAATTAAGGGAACAGTTAACCAAGAAGATATTACTATCCTAAGTGTATAGGGCACCCAATTTCATGTTAAAATGTACTACTAGATTTAAAGATTAACATCAACCATTAATAGTAGGTGAATTTGGTATCTCCAATAAACATTTGCACAAAAAAATAAACAGAGAAACATCAGAATTAAATGACATCAACTGCAGAAACCAGGAAAGTCACAAGGGACCATGGCCATGGTTGGGAACAGGGGAGCACTAGAGAGGAGAATAGCAGGGTACCAGTGATCTGATGGGGGAAATGGAGGAAGGGGAGGGAAGGAGGGCTCTAATTGGGGATGGTAAGGGAGATAAATACAGATGAGGAGTGGAGGACAAAGTAACTGTAACGGTGTCTGGAAAAAGTCATAAGGAATCATACTATTAACGATTTACCTAGAAAGAATTATAGCACAATATGTCTGTGTATAAATATAGCGTAATGAAATTCTTTTATGCGCTGACAATGCTCCATCTATGAGTGAAAGACCAGCTAGCAAAAATCCCAAAACCAAGTGTGAGAAGCCCTCTTTTAAGTTGTTGGCCAGGACTATTCAAGAGGCTCTCCAAATTTAGAGCCTATTGATGTTGCCCTTGGTTGCCCCCAAGAGGTGGAAGTCACTACTGCTAAGACACATTGCATTTCAGACACAGGACTCAGAGGCCCTAAGCTGTAACTGGGTGCCTCCTCCTTAAGGACTAGTTTTACATTACCAGAAGACTCCAGGCAATATTCCATAGGGAGGAAGAAACCAACAGTCCCACCCAGCTATGCTGCCTATGAACTACAGCAACAACCAACATGACCCAAAAACTCTAGGGTCCAGTAGTGGCATGCATATCTTAGCAGTAGCTAATATTTAATTGGACTTATGATTCCATTCAACAAGAGAAAAATCATGTATTGGGAAATCTAGACAATTACCTAGCACTAATAAATTCACAGACCTTGGGGGAGAACCTAGAACTACCACTTTATTAAACTAGCATAATCCCTAACTACATTCTAAATATATGTCCGTATGCTCATTGGTAATATAGTCCTAAGTCCTCTTCTAGCAAACCTCTCCTTGCAACAGAGAACATCACAGAAAACTCTTATGCCCAA